ATACAAACTCTGTTGCAGTAAAATATAGGAAGGGAGCTTGTGAGAACTGTGGCGCGATGACACAGAAGAAGAAAGACTGCATGGAGAGACCACGGAAAGTGGCCGCTAAATATAGTGGAGCTAAAATTGCTCCAGATGAGTTTATTCATCGTGAGGTAGCAATGGATTATGACGGGAAGCGAGACAGGCGGAGTGGCTATGACCCATCTGAACATAAAGCGATCATTGAAGAATATCAGAGGATTGAAGAAGCAAAGAGACACCTGAGAGCAGAGAAGTTGAACTTCACTGTGGATGGCAATGTTGAGCGAGAGAAGGTAGACAAAGAAGATGAAGGCACATATGTAGGTAGGACACGGGAAGATACTGCCAAATATCTCCTTAATTTGGATCGAGATTCAGCATATTATGATCCGAAGACCAGATCGATGAGAAAAAATCCACATTTTAATTCAACACTTGGTGATCAAGATATTGATTATGCGGGTGACAATTTTGTGCTCTTCTCTGGAGATGCCCAGAAGCACTCCGTGGCACAAGTGTTTGCCTGTGAAGCACATGAGATTGGAGTTGATGAGCATCTGCTATCAGAGCCCACAAAGCTGGAGATGCTGCAAAAGAATATGAAAAGAATAAGGAGCAGTTAAAGAGACAAGTGCAGAAGAGCATCCTTCAGTACTATGGAGGGGATGAGCATCTGCATGCTCATCCCAAGTCTCTCTTACTCGCATAGACGGAGATCTATGTTGAGTACTATCGCTATGGCAAGGCTATCAAGACTAAGCTGTACTGATCTTTAATGCAATTTTGGAACTAGATCATCCCAAATTTGTCCAAGTCTCAGGTTCACATAATGGCTTCCAACCGTACAACGGCACCACAGAGAGTTCGACCCATGAAGCATCAACATCCAACAGTGCTAAATGGTATCGGAGGATCATTCGAGGGCAAAGACAATGACTTCTTATACCCTTCTTGTTTTGACCTAATTGAAGAGGTTCATGTTACTCACTGTGGCCACACATTCTGCTTCCGATGTATCTTACAGTCACTAGAGTGAAATAAACGCTGCCCCAAGTGTAGTTCTCTTTTGTCTGGACCTGAAAGCGTGTTTACAAATTTTGTGCTCAACAAATTGATATCAGAATTGGTTTACGAACTTGAACACGCCTCAACGAATTATACTGCTACAAAATGGAGAAACAAGATATGCAACGAATAATCGAAATGCTGGCAAAATTAGACGCCAACCAGGCGAAGGCAGAGGCCGACAGAAAAGCCTGGCGAGAAAAGGCAGACGCCGATAGAAAAGCCTGGCGAGAAAAGATTGCCACGGAAATGGAAGCGATCAAAGCAAGGACGAAAGCCATGCGAGAAAAAATGGACACCAGCCACATGGAGATGGTTTCCGCTTTTAAACCCGAAATAGAGGAAGAGAAGATGGCCTGCCGAGAAACGACGGAGGCGCATCTAAAGAGGAGAAGCCGGCCTCAGTGGACACGAAACCTGCGGCGGCAGAACAAGAAGTGGTCCCCATAGAAGAAGCCGCAGTGATACCGGTCGGAGAACCTGAAGAAGAAATGACGTCGATTACCCGAAAAGAGACGATGGCCTGCCGAGAAATGACGAAGGCGCATCTAGAAGAAAAAGAGCCGACCTCACTGGACAGGAAACCTGAGGCGGCAGAGCATCAAGAAGTCCCCGTTGAAGATGCCGCAGTGAAACCGGTCAAAGGACGGAAGAGGAGGCATAGGAGCAAGGAGCAAGCTGCAGGGCAACTTGGGGAGCCGAAGCAACTGACCCGAGGAATTTGTGGATCCCGGATGAAGTTGGCTGCCGCCTGCAGGAAGGTGTCCCGCCGTGCAACAGTGGCATGGAGCAAGAGGAACATCTTAAAGAAATCTTCGACCCAAAGTAATTGTGGACTGCGGAAAGAAGTGACCGCCACTGGAATAAAGATTACACGCTGTGCAGGACACAGGCGTATGGGACAAAACGAAGACAATGTTGAACAAGAAACCCCGAATAGGACAGAGGAGAATAGATGTTGGAAGTACCCTGAATGCAACACTGGTATAAGGGACAGATGTCTGAAACAGCGACTACGAGTAAGCAACCAACCGNGATACTTGGAAGTTTTTGAGTAGTTGAAGTATTGGCAGCTCCTTGAGAAGGGCTCAGCTCCATGAGTAAGTAAGTNGTAAGAAGACCCACTACGAGATTGTCAGAGAGAAGATCGCGAAGAGAATAGTCGGATCTTCTGTCGGCCTACGACAAGGCAAGGATTGGACCTTGTGGAGGGGTCGACCACCTCCGAAACGAAAAAAAGTTGGAATAGTACAGAGGAGGAGCCGGTAACGTAGAAGCACCGGTCTTCTCAACGAGAGTGAATGAACGACGAATGGTATTTAATTCCCCATGCGTGCTTCATGTCACTCCCATCTCATCATCACTTTGCATTACTCTAATAATATTAGGCGAAGAGTGCAAATTATAAAGCTCCTCGCTATGTAATTTTCTCCGTCGTCCTGCTATTTCCTCTTTCAGGCCCACATATTTTTATCAATTTTTTTCCCCCAAATATCCTCAATGCATGATGAATATGATATTTTGAGGTACTTCGCCTTGCATTTTGGTAGAAGTCCACCAATGTTTCGGATGAACGTATTACTTCCATCTTCAGGGTAAAAGAATAATTCAAGCAAGAATCCAACAATAAGGGCGCAGCAAGCGGCACGGTGTCGCAACCCAAAAGCACGTAACCTTCACAGCTTGAATCCAACTTTATCTACGTCAGATTTTCTCATAAAGTGAGAGGCCAGGTTTCACACTCATATACAATAGCCGATAAGATGTACAGGGTTTTATACGTGTAGTTTAAATATTTATATATTTACTTGTTTATGTAGGGCAGGAGGTTGGAGAAAACTGCACAATGAGGAGCTTTATAGTTTGTACTCTTCTCCAAGTATAATTAGAATGATCAAGTCAAGGAGGATGAGGTGGGCAGGGCATGTAGCCTGAATGGGGGAGACAGGAATGCATAAAGGATATTGGTGGGGAAGCCAGAAGGAAAGAGACCACTGGGAAGATCAAGGTGTAGGTGGGTGGACAATATTAAAATGTATCTTAGAGGGATAGGATGGGATGGTATGGATTGGATTGATCTGGTTCAGGATAGGGACCAGTGGAGGGCTCTTGTGAACATGGTAATGAACCTTCAGGTTCCATGAGATACTTGGAAGTTTTTGAGTAGTTGAAGTATTGGCAGCTCCTTGAGAAGAGCTCAGCTCCATGAGTAAGTAAGTACTTGTGGCATACAAGTAGGTCTCTTTAATGACGCTGTAACTAGCTCCCATGTAGCTTTGAAAGATACCAGATCAGAGGTTTTACATAACTCCCCCCAGTTCTTGGTTGCTTCTCATTCTTCAATCCTTTGTTCAGTTAGTGAACCACATACCTTCTTCAAAAATTGTCCCCCGCCCTCTATTTAACACAACTTTATCCTCTTCAATCTTAGACTTTGTTTCACACCCACATTTAAAAGTAAGGTGCAGTCGCATTTTATGTGAGGATGTGTTCTTGAAGACCTCACATAATTTAGGGCAAATTTTGAAACACATAAATGATTCTTGCTTCATTTTTTTGGGATTTGTAATATTCTGAAATGTGCACATAAAATGAGATTTTATTCTATTTTTTATATCACACTATTTCAAATTCACATAAAATGCAACTGCACTGTATTTTACTGTCATAAATGTTATACATTATGATGTATAAATGTTATAAATGCTATGAATGACAGAAGAAGGTAAATTTGTCCTTGTGCTTAATTAAACACTACCCCATGAAGGCATAGGAGGGAGTAGATGCATAGGTAAATTCTGTGACTTTATCCCTGGATGGAGGTGAAAGGTCAGCTTCACCCCCTTGTCACTTTACCACCAGAAAAGTGCCCCTATTATGCACTAGATAGGAGGCTGTCTGAACATGCTGAATAAAAGAATCTCTGTTCCTGCCAAGAATTGAACATCAGTTTTACAGTTGTCCAGCTCATGGCCTAGTTACTATACTGACTCAGCTACAAATTTCCCCTGTACACCAAGAATGTGGGGCACGTGGTAGTGTAGTTGGTTGAGGCACTATGCTACAAGCCGGAAGGTCCCGGGTTCAAGTCCCTATGAGGCTATTGGATTTTTTCAATTGACCTAATCCTTCCGGCCACACTATGGCCCTGGGGTCGACTCAGTCTCTAACAGAAATGAGTACCAGGAATTAATTAAATAATTTTCCTGGGGAGTAAAGCGCGGCCAGTGCGTAAGGCTGACAACCTTACCACCATTTTTGAGCCGACTGCCTAGATAATGTGGGACCCTCAATGTTTCACAACCCATGGGACTTCACGGCCTGTTATAGGGATAGCTTTACTTTTTTTTTTTTACACCAAGAATGTGTTTATTAAGAGGAGGGAATTTAGTTTGGATTTGGTTGTTTAACCCTTTGACGTGGTCATTTAAATTCCGCGGCCGCGGCTCCTGCGGTAATATATTCAGCCGGGCATTTAAATATTGCTCGAAAATGATTTATTCATCATTGTTCTTAAATTATATGAGATAGGATCATGAAACTTTCAATAAAATGATCTTAAAAGGTGGTTTTATAACCTTGCCTTATAATATGAGCGCCCGTTATCTCGGCAATGGAAGCAGTTGGTTTAGAATTTGAGCAGTGTANCAAGCTTCAAGATTACAGTCTTCTGGGATGTGGCACTCTGTAATCTAATAAATATGTATTGATAATATTATAGAAGGATTCTGCTATCTCCATCTTCAGGGCAGAAGACTGAAGGCAGCAGGTTCCTCCAAAACACTGGTACATATCTACTAACCTACACAGTGTCACACTGCAGAAGACCACAATTTTACTAACAGGTTTTCTCTTAAGTTCATGTATTGGGAAAGGGATATTAAAACACATTATTTTCTTCTAATCATCTTTGTTATAGCCATTCTTACTACAGACATGGTACTGTCAAGTACTCTGGCACAAAAACAATTACTTCAGCATCATATGTATATTATATTTTTGCAGTCAACTAACATGTTCATCTTTTAACACTACTATAATCACATCATTCTATGAACCACCACTCACCAGAACTAAGAGAATACTGTCAAGGTACAATCAAATCATGTGATCTTGGATACTGACATTTGCAGGCACATAACAGTATTTATATAAACAAACACAGAAATGTACTTTCTATGGTACTTAAACCCCCAATTCACACATAAAATAAAATTACACGAAAGGGGGGCAGGGGAGAAGAAATGAATTACATACAAAATGTACACAAGTTCAAACCCTTGTAGTACAGATGAGATGGAGGAAAATTCTATGATCTATGTCTTTTGCTTTTAATGACGAATTAGTGGAATGTTAATTAAAACACACAATATCTGTGACAAAACATGAAATTTACAATAATGCCTGAAGGAGCAGGCACACAAGAATAGTTCTGAACATCCAAATTGCAGCTGTATAATACACACAGTGGTATTGTCTCAAACTGGATACTTAATGATTAATGTACAATTTATACATCAAATTAACAATGTACAATTTATACTCCCATGACATGCTGAAGAACATGTTAAGAGATCATATGAACTTTATCATATGTTATTATGTTCAAAAACTGAGTATTGTATACAGATTTGATTTAATTCTGCATCCTAACACCTTGAGTACAATCAACTAAATATTAACACATTGGTACCAGAAACTGTAACATAACAGCATACAGTGTGACATGGTGACTAAAGGCCAGAACAGTGGAACAAATAGATGCATCCATTTCCAGGTAATGGTGAGGTAAACGCACTTCCACGGTAGTCAAGTCGCATTGTTAGCAGCCTATATATAACAATCACTGTATCTATTTATTTAACTATTCCAGCTTCCGGCTGTCATGTCACAATATTTAAACACACCCCACTACTTGGAACGATAACATTATTTTTTTGCTAAGTTCACTTTTCAATCATTTTTTGCATTGATACATGCAACCAATAGGGTTACCATTAGCTGTACTAAATTCTAGATACCTTGATGATGCTCAAGTTTTTAAGCAACAGACGATACTGAATTACCAGAAAAAAATTAATTCTATTGTGTTAGTCTTCGCAAAATAGCTAGGATACAAGGATTGGGCAAGTGTCATATTAAATTCATTTTGACCTTATGTTAAAAAGAAAACGTGACTCATTCTATTTATCCGTTCTTCAAACTACAGCTGTCATAATTACAAAATAGGTCATTAATTTTTTAAACATTTATGTAATGTGGGATTCAACACAGAACAGGTTACATAGGTGTGTTTAGGCATGTATTGGAAAATACCAAAAGAGGAAGAGCTAGAAAGAAGGAAATAAAAGGGATGGCCATCATATGGCCCTTACACTGCAATGCTCTTTGATCTGATGTGAATCAGATTTTAACACTATAAGGAGATGTATTTTCCCATGTAATCTGAAGTGTCCTTCAAAGAAAGAACTGTCCTCATTTACAATGTCAGGAAATAACACATTTCTATGTAAGTTTCACTTAAACTTCTGCTATCTTAATGTTGATAATTCAATGTTGCTTCATTGGATAGCAAACCGAATCAAATTCTTTTTGTTATTCATTTAAAAATAAAGCAGATACTATTCTTCAAGTAAATAAAGTTTATATTTTCTAAATTTACTAATTGTACAGAATTCACTGAATGTCAGAAACCTATTTTCCTGGTATATTAATTTAGGAGCTCAGAAGAACTTTTCCAACTGATGCATATTTTATTCACATACCCGGATCTGTGTAATAACTGAGCATCAAAAAATGGCATCAAGAATCAATCCTCAAGGGGTTAAAAACAGCACTGAGTTCACCTGCAAGTTTCTTTGTAACTGAAATATTTACATATAATACTTGGAGACAATGGCTTTACACATCTGTTTATGACCTTGGTCTAATGTCATTGCCATTACCCTCACTGTAAATCTGATAAAATATGTACCCAATTTACAATAATCAGAACAACAATGAATTTTCAAAAACCACTGATCTAAAGCTAAGAGCAACCTGATGTAACAGGAAGGGCTGTATGCAACTAAGTTTCAGAAATGTACTGTGCCCATAAAATGTCTACTTTGAAGAAGTATGCCTGGAGTCTCTTGGGTAAAATTCTGCCAATGTGGCTGCTGGGATTCGTTTCAACATTTCTTTGGGGAAGATTCGAAGCAGCTGCCAACCAATGTCTAATGATTCAAACACTGTGCGATTTTCGTAGTTACCTGTAACAATAATTATGTTTGTTATCTGATATCCTTCTTTAAACATTTACATGGAGACTAAAACCATTCCTTTCAGACAATGTATAACATGAACACAAGTTGAGAGGCTATGAATCCCTGTCCAGACATTTCCAAAATTACTGGAGTGATTCTATTAAATTTTGGTATGGAAGGTCTACACAAAGTAGTCAATCAAATTTTATTTTAGTCTACATCTGTCCAGTATAAAGTATATTTTATAAGATGCTCAAATCAAACCATCCAATTTCTCAAAAATGGATCACTGTATAAAAAACTGTATGAATGGAAAAATTTAATGTTCACTGATACGTGGGTTTCCTCCTTCCAACGTTAAATGTCAAGTTACATCAATACTCTGAGTTATGTTTCTTCTGTATCATGACTTCCTTTGTTTAGTCTATAAACATTTTGTTGCCTACAGAAAATTCAACTGTTCTGTTCCTAGCAATGAGATCTCTTGCACCATTTTAATCTTTGTGCAGTGCTCAGATAAGTTATCTCAAGGAGATACAAAGAATGAATAATGTAATTTGACAAGCCAGAAAGAAATAATTTAAGATTACCTTGAGAAATGAAATTCTTCTCAAACTTTGCAAGGAATTCAAGATATAACAAGTCATCAGGTGTGAGGGCTTCTTCTCCAACTACGGCCTTCATGGCCTGCACGTCCTTTCCAATGGCATAACATGCATACTGCACAAACACAAGTCAACATTTATAGGTACAGCACATGTATACATATGAGATTCAAAATTACACAGGTAAAAAAGGTATAGTTGTCCCTGTGCTTAAATAATTAAGCACTACGCCATGAAGGTGTATGGCGAGTGGCTGTATAGATCCACGTTTTCTTGACCTTGGAGCTAGGTGGAGGTGAGTTGTCAGCTTCATGCCCTGGCTGCTTTTCCTCCAAGGAAAGAACATCCAGTACCCATTGGATAGGATGCTGGGTGGGCCCAGAACAGGTCTGGATAACACTGAGAAAATTCTTGCCCCTAACAGGACTCTTAACTCCTACCCCTTGGTCATCCAGCTCATAGCCAGTCGCTATACTGACTGTGCCATCCTGGCTCCTCGAAATAACATTCGCGTGTATATCATGATGTCAGCCAGTTCTTCTGAAATATTGCACACGTAACTATATGGTGTGATAACCTAGAACAGTGCTTGCTAAACCTTTGTCAGACAGTGTTCCCCTTAATTCTTTTTTCTATAAGATGAGGGCCAGGTATAACTGATGCCAAAGTCGGGTACCGGGTCGCGGTCCTGTGGTTAGGAAACACTGACCTAGAAAATCACAGTATGAATCTTCACTGGTGTGAAAAACCCTAATCTTACATATGGATAATGTATGTAATTTTCATGGCAAATTTATCCCCCTTACATCACTGTCTGCCAAAGGTATTCAGTTAAGATAAATGCTTACCAGTTGGTTGGATACATCAGCGTGATCTTTACGTGTCATGCCTTCGCCAATAGCAGACTTCATCAAACGACTGAGGGATGGCAGTACATTTACTGGTGGGTAAATCTGTCTGTTGTGAAGCTGACGGTCAACATAGATCTGTCCCTCTGTGATGTAGCCCGTCAGATCAGGGATGGGATGTGTGATATCTAGTTAAACAGACAAGAAAATCAAATGTGAATGCAAACCATGAAAATCCATTGCAAATCAGTACAAAGATGTGAAGGGTGGGTAAGTAGGGGTCCATTAAAAACGTGCAGTTCATTTTCTCATGCTCTCTTGTTACAGGCAATTAAGCACTAGATGAATGGGGAAAGAGAAGTAAAACACATTATCTTCAGCACTAGATGCAGACGGCTGGAAATCTTCATGCTCTGAGCATTTTACTGCCAAGAAAATGTTACTGGCAGCTACCTGAGGAGAGGCTGAGTGTCTCCAGTGCTGGTCTGAATGTGTTAGAATTCTAAAACCTGCTAGATGGTAGGAGATAGGGGAAATCCATTTTGGAGACTTTTGTAAGTAATATTACTATACTAATGATTGGACTTGGATCTTTGTCACAATTCCTGACTTTAATCCTATACCACCAGACCCCCTACACTCTACACAGAGAACTATTTCCCTGCAGGGATCACAGAATTATATTTTCTCTTATCCGTTATTTTCACTGCAAACGTAAAATCTGTAAATCCTAAAAGTATTCTAAATGAGAAGGGAGTAATAAGCAGGGTGCTGCTTGCCACAAGGCACCTATGTATAACGCTGAAAAATATGAACAGCTGTTAACGACAACACAGCAAATTGATATTTACCATCATTAGGCATGGTAAGAATGGGGATCTGTGTGATGGATCCATTACGTCCTTCCACACGCCCAGCACGTTCATAGATGGTGGCCAAATCTGTGTACATGTAACCAGGGAAACCACGTCGACCTGGTACTTCTTCTCTTGCAGCTGACACCTGCAGAATATCTACAGTTAAATTCTCTCACAACAAATTCATGAAGATAAAACTGAATCTGTTGAAAATTTGTATCAAATCCCTGCATCTCTGTCTTTTTAAAAATAATGGATACTAATCCATAAATACTGTAAAATCTGAGGCCCAAAATAAACCTCATACCTAGTAGCACTTGATATATCTACAACTATCACACACATTGGCAACAGAACCTCTTACTTGTCCTCTATATGAAGAGGTGCTACAGAAGTGGTAATGAAGATAAAAATCTCTAACCCTGCAGTGATTAAAACTCCTGTCATCCAGCATGTGGTCAGCTGTTTTACTGAGTAAGATATCCCAAACCCCTGAGTACAATTCATAATCACACAAACCCATATCTCATCTCAATTTGAATTCCTACATCCTTCTGAAGTTTTTTAAGTTGGTCTTCAACAGATCTTGGGGGCATCACTTTGCAGCTCTAAACACCTAAGTCCATTTAACTAAGTTCCTTTCCATGCCTTTACTGACAAACACAGATAATCAGAATTAATAAGAAAAGGTAAAGCTGTCCCTTTAACAGGACATGAAGACCCACAGGTGTGTGAGATTCCCACATCTTCTAGACAGCTGTCTCACAGATGGAAGTAAGGTTGTCAGCCTTATGTGCCAGCACCCTTTCCCCCAAGGAAAATTCCTGGTATACATTTCTCTTAGAGGCTTAGTCAACCCTGGGGCGATTGTGCAGCTAGAAGAATTAGGTCAACTGAAATATCCAATGACCTCATTGGGATTTCATCCCACGACCTTCTGGCTTGTAGCATAGTGCCTCAACCAACTACACTACCGTGTGCCCCTAATCAATATTAAATATACTGAATAGCTAACTCACTTCACGCAAAGCCTCGGCATAGGAACTCATGTCTGTGAGAATGACCAGCACGTGTTTCTCACACTGATATGCCAAGAATTCTGCAGCAGTCAGGGCCAGACGAGGAGTGATGATTCGTTCAATGGTGGGATCATTGGCCAAATTCAGAAACAAGCACACGTTCTCCATGGAGCCATTTTCCTGTAATTGAAAACATACAATAAATACTGCAGTACTCTGAAGATCAGCCCATCCCACTTGCTGCTTCTGACATGACAGTAATTCACAAAATAAGTTACAATTCCTTATTAATCCACATATCTGAGTGATTTAACAAGTTAGGAAATGTACACATGGCACTGGTGCATATGTAGTTATGAGATGACTAAGCATAGAAATTCCTTGTTTTCTCAAAAACCATAAAACTTGTGGAAAATATGTACTGGGGTAAAATGTATGCTTCCTTTTTTCTCTAGAGATTTTGACCAAAACATTTTTTGCTTTTATACATATGCAGCAAATTATGCACAAGTTTCATCCTGATTTAAGAATAAACTTGTGGAAGTCTTTGTGTAAAGTGTCTATTATTGTTTTCTGTTCATTGCAACCATGCCAGAACCTGAGGTGCACAAGATAGCACAAACTACACAAACATTCTTGTACTAAATCATTCTGTTTTGTCACTACCAACCTCAGACATGTTACAATAACCAAATTTATATTCATCCAGACTGGAGTAGCCAACTATAGGTCATTTCTCATTAACCTTCATATGCACATTACTTAAGACTTATCCACTTTGGCATGGCTATAGTCTTAGCTCAGTATTTCTACTCTTAGATGTCATCTAGACAGGACATAATGGAACTTCTGAGTCCATGGTATTTTGAGAAATTCGGGCGATAACACAGTAAATATCCACCCATAACAATAATTTAAACAAATTATAGGAACATTCTGATCAGAACAAAATAATACAACAGTGATCCTCTACATGAAGAGAACTGCCAATAAATTGCAGTCATGAAGGTAGTTGAAGAATAATTACCTTCTGGGATATAATGCTATTCAGTCTGTTGAAAGTCAACATGGCATTATATCCCAGAAGACATACTGAGGGGTGGAAGTATAGGCCCATGCATTCTTAACCCTGGCACTAAATGGAAGTGAGTGATTGGCTTCACACACTGGTCACTTCAGCCCTGATGAAAGAGCACCCCTGCTCCCAGTACCCATCTGACAGGAAACTGGGTAGGTACTAGAGCTGGTTCAGACATTATACAGACGAGGAAAACTCTTGCCCCCACTGGGAATCAAACCACAATTCCATGGTTTCCTAGCCCATAGCCTAGTCACCATACCACATGAGATATCCAAGCTGCAAGATTAAAATGTACAAAATAATCTGTCAAACCAACATGGGCAGCATTCTGTTTCAGGACTACAATGATCTAATTCCTCTACATTTTGTCCACAGCCAGTAGTTCTTATTGTATCCATTCTTAGTGACAAAAATTAACATTTTTATTAATATATACATGCATGTTCAACTTCTCACAGAGCCAAGAAGTGTACATTATACCTCAAAATCTTGTTTGAAAAACCTGGCAGTCTCCATGTTGACTCCCATAGCAGCAAATACAATGGCGAAGTTATCTTCATGGTCATCTAGGACTGATTTTCCAGGCAGCTTCACGAGACCAGCCTGACGACAGATCTGAGCTGCAATCTGCAAATACAGAATCATGGACTTACATGACACATAAAGTAAAATGAACTGCAGTATCTTCACTCTCTGTATCACTGACTCTCAATGTTTTCCGATTCATGGACCAGAAAAAGTATCTGTGGTCTGTCAAAGGACAAACAACAAATACATCTTGCATTCTGCAGTAGAAAAAAATTTACAAATGTAATTATTATTATCAGGACATCTGTGTTCATTTACAATGTAATAATTACCACTCTTAAATGGTATTAAAACTGAAATGATCTTATAATTACCTACACTGAATATTCACAATTCACAATCATGCATGCTGACATGTGAAATAATATAAGCTGTAAACACAACTGCCTTCCATGGTTCTGGAATTTTTAACATGCCTCAGCCACTCCATTTCTAAGGGCTGCAGTACCTCATCCTTGTCCTTAGCACCTTAGCACTTAACTGACATATAGTCTGTTTGCCCAGAAAAGGTTGATTGTGGATATGAAACTTTCTTCATAAAAAATATTATTAATAAAACATACATAAAAAAGTAATGCTATCCCTGTTAACAGGCTGTGGAGGCCCACAGGGCTGTAAGCCGTTGAGGCTTCCACATTTTCTAGACAACTGGCTCACAGATTGGGGTAAGGTTGTCAGTCTTTTGTGCCGGCTACCCTTTTTGAGAGTTCTTTTGTTGTTGCCTCACGTTGAGCATCACTTTTAGCAGAGCTTTAGTCAGTTTCGTTGATAACGAAGTTGGGCATCGTTATGTCTGGGAACCATGTTGAAGTATTTGTAATATGGAAAGGACGATGTCCTAGGTTTGAGCGTTGAGAGTCTGTCTCGGAGCTTAACGGGCCTTGCTTGATGAGAAGGGATCACACACACAGTGAAGAAGTCTTCAAACCACCACAAAACACTGGTAGTTGATGCATTTGATTTATTCAACACACTACACTTTTCTTTTACAACAGCAGTTCTACAACCGCTACTATACTTTAACACACGTTGTATATACAGTTGCATGGCCACCAACACTAGGTAGCGACGGACAGTCTTCCAGCCTAATTGACGAGCGTTAATTCTCCAATACTTGTGTGTGTCTGTGTCTGCTTGTGTCTCTACTCTCTGGTCATCTGGGAATCAACCCCTTTAAATACCGTGTGATGATGTAATGTCCTGGAATCTTCCCGAACTCTCTTGATGTTTTGCTGCATGACATAATGCTGTAGAAATTTCCAGATCCTTCTTTTAATTGTTTCTCTAATCGAGAGCATTCTGGAAGCTTCCTTTAATTAGGCTAACAGTGGGATGAGTAATCAGCATACCACACCAACTATTAAAGAACTTTCTAGTAGCCTTTTATCTACATATTGCTCATTGTGATTTCTTAGAACAGTTAATGCAAGACTGGGCATAAGTTACATTTAGTATAAAATTGGTACTGTAACAAATATCGTTGTACATGAATCGGGTCGGTAGGTAACTGATCGGTTACACCTTTAACACCAGGAAGATTCCTGGTACTCATATGTGTTAGAGACTGGGTTGACCCTGGGGCCATAGTGCGGCTGGAAGGATTAGGTCAATTAAAAAATCTGGTCAACTCATTGAGAATCGTGAGCTTCCAGCTTGTAGCATAGTGCTTCAAATCCCCATAAAAATAACATATATATGAAATATTAATATTTATTGAACAAATAATATACATATGTAAATTCTGAGATTTCCATTGCAGTGATTGCTCAGATTGTGGTTTTCTGGGTTGAGAAACCACGTACTTTTGTATGTGAATACTGATGTTACAGGTGAACATGCTGTCTCCGTCTTCGGGAAGTAAAGTGAAGCGGAGGCAGACTATTCCTCTGTAACAACAGTATCCACCTATGAAACTAAGCAGTGCTGCAGCCAAGGAGACCACAATCTGAAATAGTATGTAAGTAAATGTTTCATTATATATACAAAAAAAGTGACTCTGAGTAGGCTCAGATGAGCTAGTCTGTGGAAAACACTGATGGCACAAGTTGTCTAAATACATTTGGAAACATGTCAAGCAAAGCGTGGGTGGATGACACGTTATAAAATTGTGTGATATTTATATATTGAAAAAGTAAGCACCTCATTATGTGGCAAACCAGCAGCAGAGAAGATTGGAATCTTTTGACCTCTAGCAATGGAATTCATCACATCAATAGCAGAAATTCCTGTCTGGATCATTTCCTCAGGGTAAATACGAGACCATGGATTAATTGGCTGCCCTGAAAGTAAAACATTTCAACAGATGATACTTCCACACTTTAATGCAGAAGCCTGTCTCAGTGAGATTATGAACAAACAGAACGTCACATCCAGATTACTGTCAAAAGATAGAAAACAGCTTTTACAAACTAATCATAATTCCTAAACTAAATCATATACCTGAATTACTCAACTACTACAATCCATAAATAATGAACTTTAAATCTTCCAGTACTACAGGGCTGGAGTAACAGATTATTGTCTGCTACCTTGCATGCACAAGCTCTACCCCACTCTTACATTAGTTGTCCAAAACAAATGGAGGTTACTTTCTGAACAGCCTTTGTAACATCATCGCCGTTAACTCCTGACTTACTACCATTATTGACAAATTTTCATTTTGAAATATATTATTGGTTGCCTATATAGCAAAGCTGTCCCTGCCCTTAATTAATTAAACATATCATGAAGATGTATGGAGCAGTTGATGTTTGGATCTGCACATTCTGAAACTCAGCACAGCTTGGCTGCTTTATCCCTGGAAATTAGGCCCTACAACATAGTCAGGAAGATGGTTTGGCTTCAGGTCAGTCTGGACACTGTGATGAGAAAAATCTCTTGAGCCTACTGGGAATCAAACCCCGATTCCTCAGCCATTCAGCCCACAGCCCATCACTATATTGAGCTATTCAGGCTCCTGGTACTCTATAATGTGTTATGTGTCTATTCTGACGTGTATCATAAGAGGTTTATGTAATACTGCTCTTCTCTGAAAAGCACATTCAACTATCAAACTGCAGTACTTACCCTGGATATCTAAGTAGGCCTCTGCTAAGATTGGAGGTCCCTTGTCAATAGGTTTACCGCTGCCATTGAACACTCTCCCCAGCATGTCTTCAGATACAGGTGTTCGCAAGATATCACCCGTAAATTCACATAGGGTGTTTTTCGCATCTATTCCTGATGTGCCTTCAAATACCTGAAAATACATTTCATGGTCTAAAAATGATTATCTATTAATATGAACAATAACCACTCAGATCTAAAAGGTTCTGACAATGGTGCATTACATTCATAATTACTGAGTTTCTGGATTTTATCCATCATCTGGTACTCTGAAAGAAACTGGGTCTGTTTCTATTCTCAGATGAAGGGGTGTGGAGCAGCCTACTTTGCTGCTTACATTGCAAGGCATTAATCTCAATCACTCTTTAATTCTGACACAGATTGTCTAAACCACTTCTGATGGCATATCATGTCTTTAGCAAACAACCATGTGTGTTCAATGAGACCTCTGATATAGCAATTTCAGACCCAATTATATGACGAAAACAGAATTTCATAAGAGTTCTATCTTCTGGGATATAATGCTGTGTAGTCCACTGAAAGTCAAAGAACATGTTGGAGTAACACCAGTGTGAGAACTTCCCATCCTACAGAGTCCAGTAATTGTATAATGGTGTAATGATCTGATGATCATGCACCCTCAAAGATGTATTAAACACAGTTTAAGTAGGGCTGTTTTATGACTGTTTTGCTTCTCACACATAAAGTGGGCTTGTCCAAAGATGAAAAATATTTATCCCTGTAAGGTAAAAAAAATAAGTAAAGCTATTCCTGTAACAGGCTGTGAAGGCCCATAGGGTTGTGAGATGTTGAGGGTCCCACACTATCTAGACAATCGGCTCAAAGATGGTGGTAAGGTTGTCAGCCTTACGCGCGCTCTGCTTTACTCCCTAGGAAAATTTAGTTAATTCCTGGTACTCATTTCTGTTAGAGGCTGAGTAAACCCCATGGCCTAGTGCGGCTGGAAGGATTAGGTCAACTGAAAAAATCCAATGACCTCATCGGGACTTGAACCTGCGACCTTCTGGCTTGTAGCACAGCCCCTCAACCACTACGCTACTGCGTACCCCATTTATCCCTGAAGCTAGAGTAACAAAGAAATATACTGATCGTGGAAAGCTCAGAGTTTTTTCAAATTAACTTACACAAACTGCCATCTACTCAGCAATTTTCACATGAACACAATAATTGTACAAACTCAGACTACTGATAGAACTTGTTCAGGGACCAGCTGTGACAATTCAGGGTAGAATTAAAACATTTTAGAGGTCTTCTCAGTCTGATGGCAAAGGCACAGGTACCTATCTACACATCATAGTTCTACCTTGAATTGATGTGGGTGGTCATCCAAGAAGACTTCTTAAATTTCAGTCACTGTAAATGCTTCAATTATTACAAAACTCAAGTTAGTCTGGAACTTACCTGAACAACTGCCTTTGACCCACTGACTTCCAGAACCTGACCTGATCGAACAGTTCCATCTGCAAGGTGAAGCTGCACAATCTCAGCATACTTGGGAAATTTCACTTCATCCAAAATTACCAGTGGTCCATTAACACCGGAAACGGTTTTGTATGCTGAAAATTATAACCACTGAATCAACAAGAGTGAGAAAATGCACCTTTGAGGGGTGTTTCATTTATGTATGTCTGTCTGTGGTCTGTATATAACCAGTGCATTGTAAATTAAGCAGATATCAGGCAGATGGAATAGCAATAGCAGGAGCTCGATGATGCAGACTTCATATGCAGCACTACTGTACTGGCAATTTTCTTGAAATCAGTGACCTTTTAAAATATATGAGATAACATCTGGTTCCTTGTAAATTTTATCCAGAGCATTACTTTTTATGAATATTTAGCAAGATATATTTAAAATCATGTATTTAGGCTGATAAGTATGTTGGTCCTTCAAGCAGCTTAAACTCATACACTCATTTGTATGAGTATCATAAAAGTGCTTAACACCAAGTTCCATCAAAGTCTAACAGTTCTTTTATCTATTCATGATTTATTTAATGAGATGACAACTTAGTAACACAGTATGTGACAGGACATTTGTGAACATTTAATTGGAAAAGGATATGAAAGGAAGCAGTTGGGGCCCAAATAAAGGTAGTATTCCAGCATTTACATGGAGATACTGAGGAAATATACCATAAAGTAATCTAATTGTGAAACTTCATGAATACAAAGCAAGGAAGGTAACCATAATTCGCTTGGTGGAATGTTGCACAAGTAGACTGGAGAATAAGGCATGAGGCTGGAACACTAAGTGGCATGTTATAAAATTTTATCCTGTGCAGAGAAGAATGAGCAAAAAAATAATGACAAAGGATTGTTAGAATAGCATGATATAATTATGAGGGGACGGCAACGCCCTAGGTGACCAACTGAAAGATGAATGATTTGCACACTGGATATATCAGGCAGAATAGAATGACGACGAGAAGGTGGACAAAAAAATTGAGAATTTTACTATTCCTGGCATTGCACAGCCGATCATAGCGGCAGCACAGTATAGCATGAACTGTCTTTGAGCACTCGAACGCTGGGATCGTGGGTTCGAGTCCCACTCAAGGCATGGATGTTTGTGTTTACTCTGTTTGTTGTCATTCTGTGTAGGTTGCGGCCTTGCATCTGGCTGATTCCCCATCAAAGGAGTCCTACCGACTGTCTAAGATTAAGAAATGAAATTAAAAAAAAGTTTCACGGATGCCCTGTGCTTCAAGTTGGAGCAACAAGGATAGATATGTCGTTGCACAAAATACCGACAATCTTAAACCAATTTCCCATAAAATATACAATGTTTCACTTCCTTGATCAGGGAAAGTGTAGATAAATACTTCATAAAAACAGGAAACTTAACCATAAGATTTTATAACTTGACCTCTTTTCAAACACTAAGCACTTGACTTGCTCTACAGAGAAGTTCAGTCATTACAACATTATCCATATATAAATCATAAAATATTTTAGCTGCACTTACTGATTCGTGGCTGCGATACGAAATCCCTGGTAACGGCCAAAACATGTTCTTTTGTGGCTTGTTTCAAACCCCGACCTGTATTCGACAACATTTTCCTCAGTCGTCGATTCACGTGCAATCACGTGATGATAACTAGATAGTTAAAGTTCGAGCACGAACCACGGATTAGCAATATACTTCAATGTACGCCATTTTCATTCTAAACATTGCCAAGGTGTCTGTATTTATTAGTTTCTGCGGGATACTATTAATGAAGTTTCGAAATCATCAATTTATTTTACACTTAGCTAAGGTATAAAAATTGATGATTGCCACGAATCATAGTTAGTTAACGACTGTTAAGGAAGAGCTCAGAAGCAAGGATTACTCAGCTCAATCGATCCAATTTAACTGGAGGCAAACGATACAGAGCAGGATGGCGTAATATGGAGTTCGACATTAACTCGCTCCATTTTCCTGCCCTTCTGACTAAGAGGGGGGGGGTCATAATTCTTCATTCGATAGCTCTTTAAATGTCAAAATTATTCGATTTTTTTAACAGTACAAAAATTAAACAATGTTTATTCGATTATGCGCATCTCTATTTACTTGCGAGCTTGCGAACCAAAGTGTCGATCGTATCGATGTTGCCGCCGTTGCCGTAATTGCTATCGATTGCTAACGTCATGGACGTCATGGAGTATGACTGGAGGCCGATCATGTGATGGTTTAAAATAAACAAAAGTTCATCGACAGGCCTCACTTGGTAAAGAACGTAAAGAAGTCGGAGGCATTATAGTCATTAAGTCACTCTTTTGCGTAGTTCACTTATTATATGTGCATAATGTAAATTATTTAGATGGTGAAATTATTGATGAATGACTATTGAACTGTGCAAGAATATTACGAACAAATGTTCATAATTATGAAGTACATGTTATACAGGAATGGACCAGCATTATCCTCTGTAATCCATAACTAGCATTTGTTTATCATTCCAGTGTCGCAATGCTGGGATTGCTTCGTCTTAACATTCACGATGAACAAATCGAAAAAACAATATCTGTGATTCTGCGCCTTCCGGGCTTGTTTCTGCTTGATTACTGGTGTCACTCATCATCAACAGAAATATGGACAAAAGTACTGGATTCTACGGATCCTATATCTGCAGCGGTTTCTGCTTTCAGTAAGCTGGAATTTTATTTCGAATTGGGGGGTGGGGTTTGCACGAACTGCGTGTAGCACAGTCACAGTCAGATCAAATGAAAATATTTGTAGTATATATATTTTTTCGTCGTATAAACTACAGATTTCATATTTTTTTCTTTTTCTCCATCTTCTAGCATTTTCGGTAGGCATAAAGTCTGGAGCCTCTTTCATCCCATAGTATTTTCTTTTTAATTTCTTGCCACCTTTCTCCCATCTTCTTGATGTCCTCCCATGCTTTGTTAAATTATCTTGTTCTGCTCTATCCAATTGGTCTGTTTTCTTTAAATTCAAATTTCAGTATCCTTAGTATCTTTGTTCAGTCCGTTCCCCTTACGTGGCTGAACCATCGTAATAATTTCTGTAATAAATTCTGAATTCTATTTTTTGTTAAACATTTTAATTTCTTAGTGTTTCTCTTCTAGTTTCTTCTACATACTTCTCCAAAATATCATCCAGTGCTTGAATTTTCCTTTTGTTTCTGTCTATAGAGGTCAGTGTTTTTGCATTGTATGTTGGTATCGATTTAAATATGTCTTATGGATTGTTATTTTGTGTTTGTGTTTCTGTGACAGTATAATTATGGTGTTTAGTCTTTCTCTTATCTTCATAATTTTCAGATTTATGGGAAGTCTAATTATAGTTTTTTATTCTTTTACTTTGCAGTTCTTATACAAAGTTTGCTGCTACTTTTACTTCCACTCGAAGACCTGGTGACACTTTACATGCATTATCTAAGTGCAGCTTTGATTGCTGGCTCTCAACTCATCTCGCATCATTATGTACAAGCAGATGACCCGAGTATGGATTTCTTCTCTTTTTCCATATTTGGAGATGTCAGAACAACTTCAGTACAAATATCACCCCATTTTATAACTATTGCTACCCAGATTATTATGGCAACAGTGATTTCATTTCTCTTGGATCTAGACCGTAATATTAAGAAAGTAATACTTGCTGTTTACACGGTTCCAGTTGCAGCAAGACTAGCTCATTTCCCAATACATTACTTAGAAACCCTTCACAATTTTTCCAGTGCCCTTACACTTATTTCTGTTGCATACTATACCCTTACATCACTGCCGCGTTTTCTTTTGTACATACATAAAAGATACAAGTCAGCTGCACATGTAGTTGTACATCAGGGTCCTGTAAATGCTGCCTTTGGTGCTTGGGAGTGGTCGTTCTTGATGCCACAGTTTCTGTTGTTTTGGTGTGTGCTGATATCAGCCCAACTGTACCAGTACAATTTATGGCATCGGAAGGTAAGAATCTTGACTTTTCTATTTACTTTATGTATTTTATGAAGAAAAGCATGCTTACCATCAATGAGACTTGATGTTCTTGTGGTGGTGAATATCAAGGTTATGGTATTCATGGATGTGACATGTTTTGGTCAGTAGGGACCAGTTCTTTTTGAGGAATATGAAGCTCCCTTGTTCATGATGAGAGTCTTCTACTTCTTTTTTGCTCTGAAGATGGAGGTAGCAGCTTCCTCTGAAATGTTGGTGCCTGTCAAGCAAACCAAATGGCATCAGGTCCCAGAAGATTATGATGTTGGCAAATATTTCTCTTGCCACAAAATTGTGGATCAGTATTTTCTGGTACTTTGCTGTGTTTGGCCTCTACTCAGCACACAGGATTCTCTTATAACTTTCTTAGTGTTTGTCCTGAAGACATGCGGTCCAGGCATGAAGCTAAATTTAAACAATAAATTAATTTTCATGAATTAACTAGTTATATTTAGAAAGCAGTCTTCTGGGATTTGGCACCGTGTATATGTGGCGTTAATTTACCGGTTCTCACGGTCTCTTTGCTTGCAGATTTCTTATATATTTTTTCTTCTACCCTGAAGATGGAGGCGATACGTTCCTCCGAAACGTTGGTTAACACCACATATACACGGTGCAAAATCCCAGAAGACTGCTTTCTTCATAGTCACCGCCGTGAAAGCCTCAAATCTTACATAGTTATATTTATCTTAATTTCTTTGGATAACTTTCACTGTTTCCTCTGCTGCATGTGACCAAATGAGATTGCCAGAATCCCCAAAACTGACTTCTGACTGCCAAGTGGGAAATTAGTTGCAAGCCAAAACTGTTTGACACCAGCAACTGTGTTCTTTTATAACTACTCGTATATAATCTATGAGTTGAAACAGCATCACTAAATCACCAAGGAATTGTTTTACTTTTGGTCAAAATGTTGATAGCTTTGATTAAACTCCTAAGTGAGGCATGTTTTGGTATCACAGCAGATGGTTACGAATTCTGTCTTGAACCAGTTTTACTGTGTGTGCTGCATTGCAAAAGGATACAGTTGCATGGTTTTGTATTTTCTTTAGAACCCACCTCCTGGACGTCTGGTCGTCTCACCAATTGAGCGTGGAGAATGGCACATTATAGTCCTGTATGCATTGGCAGAAGTGTGTGCATCACCCATCAGCCTGATAGGGTGCTGTATTGCTGTGTCATATGCTTCCTGGATGACACTTAACGTCACCAAGGTGTTCATTCAAGGTGTTTAACTGAATGATTCAGTTTAATTTTTAACCTACCAATTTTATAAGAACAGATAAGCTTATGAAGAATGGCGAAAACCTTGAATCCAACATAAATAAACTTATATTATCATTGTATCTAAGGAGCTGGGATACTTTAGTTGGTATAGCGACTGATTGTGGTCTGGGCAGCCGGGATTTGATTCTCAGCAGGGGAAAGAGATTTTTCTTTCCTCCACAATACTGGCTGTGGGGCCCACCCAGACCTCTCTCCAGTGGGTACCAGGGGTTCTTTCCTTGGAGATAAAGCAGCTGGGGTGTGAAGCTGACCACTCACCTTTGTCTAGTGCTGAGGTCATGAATGGTGGAGCTATACCTCTACTCCCCATTCATCTCCATGGTATGGCACTTATTTAAGCACAGGAATGACTTTACCTTTAACATTTTTATTATTGTATGTATTTGTTCTCTCAGTAGTTTCAGAGATGTAACACATAGGTGGATGGATACATTATCCATTCGTTTTTTTATGAGTTTCATGAAGATAACATGTAAAAAGTTCAGTTTTCCCTTAACATTCATGGTTAGAAATGTATGTTTGATGTGGGATTAAAATTGTTTCAGGTACAAGGGTACTCCTGATAGACAGAAACCTGGACAGGGCTGGTGTGCCTGAGGGTGTCACAATGGCACTGCTGGCCTTACAGACGGGACTCATAGATCTACCGATGCCCCAGAGGATGGCCACCATGTGCATGATTCTGTTCATCATTGCGGGTTCGCTGATGCAATCTATGCATGAGATTGTGGAACCTGTGCTCTTGTCTCTCAGTGCGTCCCCTTCACGGTCCATTCTTCGTCACGTTAGAGTTCTAGCAGTATGCCTTTTTCTTCTGGTCTGCCCTCTGTACGTGACCGTCTCTCTCTGTGAACTGTTTGGTGTTGATTTCTGGATACTTGTGGTTATATCAACATGTACTCTCACATCAGTTCAGGTATGTACATTTTATTGACCTAATTCTTTAGTACTGAAGACTTTCACCCTTCACAGTTGTTTATCGAGACATCTCTCTTGTTTTTGGATAATTATACTGTGTTGTAATGTTCATTACAGAAACCATAACATTATGCTTGTACCATCTGTCTTTGATTTATGTCCGCAGAACTGTGGGATAACATTGATTCGAGACACCCTCCCTTGTCTCAAAACGTCCATGCAGCTGATCCTTCACAAATTCGAAAAGATGGTAGTCGGAGGGTGCCAGATCATGGCTGTAGGAGGGGTGTGGAAGAACTTCCCACCCCATCTTTGCAATTGCTTCCAATGTGAGGCGAGCGTTGTCATGCGGGATGATGATGTTTCATCCCGGACATTTATCGCACAATGCACGATGGAGCTTGTGCAGCGTCTGGACATAGCGAGCAGCATTGATGGTTTGCCCAGGTTCCAGGAATTCGGCCAGAATAAACCCCTCTGCATCCCAGAAGACTGTGCCCATCACCTTCAGAGCTGATGGCACTGTCTTTGCCTTCTTTTTTGATGGAGAATGCAAATGGTGCCATTCCATACTCTGCCGTTTCATTTCAGGCTTGAAATGGTGAAACCAGTTTTCGTAACCTGTCACAATACAGAGCAAAAAATCATAGCCTTTGTGTCGATATCTCTGCAACAGTTCTGAGGTGATGGCTTTTCGCTGACCTTTGTGGTCTTCGGTCAATAACCACGGGACCCAACGAGCACAAACTGTTCTATAGCCCCAGCTTTCAGTCATCTCCTGTACTGCACTGTGCCCTATTCCAAGTTTTTGGGCTATTGTGTCCACAGTCACATGCCTGTCATCTTGAATGACCTCATCCACTCTTTCTTTGTTGCGTTCAGTTGAGGCTGCTCGAGAATGACCGCTCCGAGGCTCATCTTCAATGCTGGTGTTCCCATCTTTAAAGTGTTTCACCCATTTTCGAACACTGCTCGCACCCATGCACACATTTCCTTAAGCACACTGAAGTCTGGTGAATTTCTGCAGCAGGGATTTCCTCTTTCACAAGAAATTTGATGACAGCACGCTGGCGACACAACATATCGTTGTCGGCCATTTTGTTAGGAGTGCTACTGGTCATGTGATGCAAGTTATTGACGTCACAAGACACTCAAGGTCAACACAACAGCTGGTTCCGCCTACCACCATACTCTCTTTCGTCTGCTGTTCCCAGGTTGCATGCAAAAAAAAGTTGCGCATGACTTTCGGTACGACCTACGTATTATTAGACTGATAAAATTAGGGAGGATGGACAGGGTATGCAGCGTACAAGAAAGAGGTGCATGTGAAGTTGATAGGAAAACCTGAAAGGGAGAAGCCACTAGGAGGACTTACAGTAAATGGGAGAATAATGCTTTGACATGATTACGTGGTCTGTTGGCAAGGCAGTAGCTGGGTGAACATGTTCACAATACCCAGAAATGGATAAGCATGCAACAGTAGAAGAACTTAGTCTCAAGGGTTCAGTTGAAAAAAGAATCTCTGGTCGTGAACCTCAAGGGGCTTGGCTCCAAGACAAACTGATTGGTGGTGAAGTGCCAGTTGCAAAGTGACTGTGACTGTGAGTCTGACTCTGTCTCTGGGGAGTTAAGTTAGAGCAATGGGTGAGTGGTGAGACGGTCACCAGCCGGTAAGGACTTGAACAGAGAAGCAGAGGAGTATCTCTTGTTCGGAGCGATATGGGCAATGACTGGTGAAGACACAGCACACTGGGAAGAATTGTTGTGTGTTGTAGTGATTTGTAAAATGTGTAGATTACTCTGATAGTGTTATAATTATTTGCGAGTTTTAAGAGTCCAATAAATCTAATTAACGATCTGAACCCTATGTCTACTGAGTAACATGTGACAATAATAAAATTGGTGTTAAAGAAATAAGGATGAGAGGATGTGGACTGGATTCATGTGGGTCAGGATATGAACTGGAGGTGGGGGCATTTGTGAATGCAGTAATGAACCAATGATCCATATAAAATGCAGGGAATTTTCTTAGTATCTGAGCAATTGGAAGCTTCTGAAAGAAGGACTCAGAACCATAGAGCAAATTAATCATATGTGGGGTATATCCTTTGAACACAAACAGAAATTCCTCAGAAGAACAATGAACAGTCTTCTTCAGCTGCTTCAGACCACACGATGAGACAAATAGAAATTGTCTGTAAATGTTATTCTCTAAGCATATTCTGTTAATTGGAACTGTGATTGAATGGAAACATAACAGAAATAGAAACTCACTCGCTTGAAAGCCAGAACAGTTCTGATTTTGGGAAAATTAAAAGTTCTGCAATCAGACTAGTGAAATCTGGAAAATTATGCCTTAAATGCTTGAGTAAGTTTGTTTTCAGATTGGCATAGCAATGAATTTTCAAGCATTAACATGTGCGAATCTGTTTTTCCATATTGTGTAATAATTCCATTTGGTTCTTATGTTTCACTTATCCTGGCCACATAAATGGTCTGCATCCCATGATTCTCTACAGGTATGTGACCATTACTGATTTATTTTACAGATATTATGTTGGACAGTGTCCATTGTGTGAGTGTATTTGGTGTACATGACATTTCCACGAGTTGTCCCTGTTCCATTCCTCAGATGATTGTCATCCTGACAGCTTTGTTATTACATTTTTCATTTTGATATTAATGGCCATGTATGGAATGAAACATAGAATCTTTTGAACTCCAGTCTAGTACCACTAACCTCTAGACCATCTATACTCATGTCACAGTGGTGCATCAGGTTTAGTAGATCAGTATACAGAGTTCCTGGCTACAGACCCAGAGGTATGGGTTTGATTACTGTCACTACCAGGTTTTCTGAGAAGTAGTGGGTCTGGAATGGGGTCCGCTCAGCCTTGTGAGGATAATTGAGGAGCTATTTCAAGAAAATAGCAACTCCAATATAGAAAACCAAAATTAACAGCCGTGGGGATTCGTTGTGCTGACCACGTGATACCCTCTATCCGCTAAAGTTGGCACTAACTTCACCAACAAGCAGCAGTCACTTGGTCGATAAAGTTCACTTGCAGACTGAAACCACGGAGTTTGTTTTGTAGAGATATATACAGTTTCTGTCGCATAGCATATATTCTCTTCCAAATATTTACAATGTGGGTGACTTATTTTACTGCACACTTGCCACCATCAAGCCCTCAATTATTTGAACACATGCCTAAACTTTACGTATATTAACGTGTATATATGTGTGTGTACATCTAGTATGTACGTAGGTGAGTCAAATGAAAACTGTAAAACTGTCCTATAAGTTGGCAGACATGTTACCAATGCTATAAAGAGTATCCTATAGGTGGCAGTATAATGCAGACAAATGGAACGCCATTACAGTGCCGGTTTGAAGATGGCTGCTCCACTACGTACATGCACGAAAGACGAACAGTGTTCTGTCATTCGTTTTTTGATCACTGAAGGTGTGAAACCAATTGAAGTTCATCGACGGATGAAGGTTCAGTATAGTGATGCATGCTTGTCACAGCAGCAAGTATACGAGTGGAGTAGGAAATTAAGAAATGGTGTGACGTCTCTGGCAGATGCTCCTCACCCTGGTCAGGTGTACAGAGTTGTGACTCTGAGTCTATTGCAGCAGTTGAAGCCCTAGTGATGGAGAATCGCCGAGTGTTGGTGGATGAAATAGCCGAAATTCTTAACATGAGTCATGGATCAGCACACCATGTCATTCATGATGTGCTCCAGTTTCACAAAGTGTCTGCAAGGTGGGTGCCGTGGTAGCTGATTCTGGAATTGAAACACCAATGTGTTGATGCCTGTGAAGAAGTTCTACGGAGCCTTGAAGCCGATGGGGATGGCTTCCTTTCGAGAATCGTTACTGGTGATGAAACTTGGGTGCACTACCACCAAACAGAAACAAAGAGAACGAGCAAGGAATGGTGTCATTCCTCATCACCAAAACCCAAGAAGTTCGGACTCAGCCATCTACAGGGAAGATTATGCTGACTCTCTTTTGGGATGAATGAGTAGTTCTCTTGGAGCACTACACGCCTTGAGGGAACACTATCACCAGTGCCTCATATTCAGATCTCTTGAAGAATTATCTTCTATCTGCAGTCAGATCAAAGTGATGTGGACTTTTGACTAGAGGTGTCCTTTTGCAACATGACAGTGCTTGGCCCCATACTGCGCGTGCAACAGTTGCAACAATCCAAGACTTGCACTTTGAGTGTCTTCCACATCTGCCATACTCCCCAGACCTAGCCCCAAGTGATTACCACATGTTTGGGCCGCTCAAAGAGGCGATGGGAGGAACTAAGTTCCGTTCTGATGCAGAGGTATGGCAGGCGGTGCATGAGTGGTTGTGTAGACAACCACAAGAATTTTTTGCTAGAGGAATCCATACACTTTGTAAATGCTGGAGGGCCTATATTGAACGAAATGGAGCCTATATAGAAAAATGATATAGTTGTATACTGCTTTCATTCAATAAATTAATTTAAAAAAAAATTTACGGTTTTCATTTGACTCACCCTCGTATATAATTTAGTCTAAAAATTAGATGTAAATCTCTTATTGAAACCTTTACACGTGTTCAAAGAACTGAGCAGCTGAGGATGTTAGGTATGTATAGAAACATGTTACCTGCTGTTTAAATCCTGGGAAGAGAATATACATTGTGTGAGGGGAAATTCTATGTTTCTGTCTGTATACATGTTGTTCCAATTGTTAACTGTAAATATTGCAAGGACTCGCGTTGGTAAGTCAATATTATACGAGGTTCAGATGTATTTCTATCGCTTTGTATTGTCATTCTTTGTTCTATAGGTTCTAGGGGCCCTTATTGTGTATGGTCTCTTCATGTATGATGTTCTGCAGAAAGATTCAGGTTGGGAAGCTTTAGATGACATTGTCTATATTACACGTGCCATCATACATGTTACAGAATTCCTGGTTGCAGTACTTGTTGTTGGGTCTGGTAAGTTAACTTCTATTAAATCAACATTTTAATAGTAGCAAAGTCAGACACCATAATGAAGCTTTTAGCTCTTCAGTGCTAGATAATATTCTCTGTACATTTTCACCTGGTGTTGGAGGAGTCATATGTATGTGCCATCAGATTTAGGAAACTGTCTTAAAGTGTGAAGATGTTTTAATGCTGTGTAGTATGGAGAGAGCCTGTTTCTGCAGGTGTCTTGCTTGGCTTACTCCTTGACCTTAAAGGTAGAGGCAAAGTATTCCTCTGAAACAAGGTTGTCTCCATACGCTTCATAGGAACTTCAAATCCAACATTCTCTGTGTGGCTTTACCTTGTGATTGAGAAATCATGCATGTATCTTCAGATTTATGAAAACTGTCTTAAAGTAATCTAAAGTTGTATATTTTATGTAGTATTGTTAGCATCAGTATTATATTTAAGCATCCTGTTGCACTCCATACGATAAATGATATAATGATAAAAACTCCGTCTCAAGTGCAAACAATATATTTTGTGTCTTTGATCTTGTTCCCCTACACTACATGTTTCGGCCTCAGACGGCCATCATCAGGTGTATAACACTCACGTCACTGTCACACTGCACCCAGCTCAAAATTTAACATTTAAAAACACTTTCCTTGTTATTATCAACTTCTACTTCGTTGATAACTGTCTGGTTTGTAGATTATTTTATCTTACACACGTTAATTTTGACTTTGTTGTAATAGCACTATAATAAAATCTTTAGTTCTAATTTTAAAAACCTTTAAAATTCTTTCCTAAATTTTAAAATTTTAAAAATTGTTAGGGTTATTCGCCCTATGTTTAAAGTGCTGCAGTGGCTAGTTCTTGTTACCACACTGTATAGGTGTTATCTTGTGTAGTCTTTCTATGTGTGTGCCGCTGCTATTCTTTACTTGAATAAGTAAAGAATAGTAAAGAATAGCAGCGGCACACACACAGAAAGACTACACAAGATAACACCTATACAGTGTGGTAACAAGAACTAGCCACTGCAGCACTTTAAACATAGGGCGAATAACCCTAACAATTTTTAAAATTTTAAAATTTAGGAAAGAATTTTAAAGGTTTTTAAAATTAGAACTAAAGATTTTATTATAGTGCTATTACAACAAAGTCAAAATTAACGTGTGTAAGATAAAATAATCTACAAACCAGACAGTTATCAACGAAGTAGAAGTTGATAATAACAAGGAAAGTGTTTTTAAATGTTAAGTTTTGGGCTGGGTGCAGTGTGACAGCGATGTGAGTGTTATACACCTGATGATGGCCATCTGAGGCCGAAACATGTAGTGTAGGGGAACAAGATCAAAGACACAAAATATATTGTTTGCACTTGAGACGGAGTTTTTATCATTATATCATTTATTGTTAGCATCATTACATCAAAAATGATAAGCATTTGTAACATATGGGAAAATGAAGACATGCATACAGAATTTTGGTTGGAAAATCTTAAATTTAAAAAGCAAGTAAGACCTAGGCATAGATGGGGTCAGAATATTAAAATAGTTTTTTGAGAAACTGTTGAAATATGAATTGTATTCAGTCAACATGATATAACATTCAGTATTGTAATTTTATGATGACAGTAATGAATTTTTGGATTTGACAACAACAGGGAGTTTCTTGATTGGTTGACTATTGACATCTCAAGAAAGAATGTGTATCACAGCCCTGGTTGGTCAATTAATTCTGTGATGTCCTGTACACAGGAATTCGTGATTCTGTGCTGCTGTCTGCAGAAGGGCATACATGGTCATGGTTGAATGGCTCAATTTTGGCTGTTCACTGTTACTACAACGTGTTCCTGCGCTTGCAGTCTGGTTGGCAGAGTTTTCTGCTTCGGCGTGAAGCAGCACGTAAGATACTGGCCTTACCATCAGCAAACCTGGATCAGCTGGAGTCACACTCCAATGATGTGTGTGCCATATGTTACATTCAGATGAAAACTGCTTGTGTAACACCGTGTGGTCATCTCTTTCATGCATCGTGTCTCAAGAAATGGCTCTATGTTCAGGACCGATGCCCTCTGTGTTCATCCAGAATTGCCTCAGAAGAAAATAAAGAGAAAAAGGTACCTGACATTCACTAAGTCAAGACTGAGTCATGCAGTAATTTTGAGTGATGCTCTTCCAATGAACACAGTGCCAAATGAGGAAGTGACAAGTTCTGATAATGTTCTTCCTATGAATGTGGACAGAATGTGCCAAATCAGTGGAATTGGTTCAGTGGCAATATGTGATAATATGAGGCCAAATGTCTATTCACTTCATGGCTCTAAACATCTACCACTAAGTGATTCATTTAAATGCTGTAATCCACAGTATGTAATGTCTGATACCAGTGGTTGTATTAATGGTGCTTCTGATTAACCTTCTAAATTAATAGTTTTATAAAGCTGAGTGTTCCTTTTTATAGTAAATGAAAGATTGGAGTAAAAGTCATATATACTAAACTAAAAAACTGAACTCCGTGGCCTGTAGCCTGCAAGTGAACTATACCGACTGAGTGACCGCCGCTTGTTGGCGAAATTAGTGTCAACTTCAGCAGATAGAAGGTGTCGCGTGGTCAGCCAAATGGATCCCCACAGCTGTAAATTTCGGTTTTCTAGACTGGAGCTGCTATTTACTTGAATAGCTCAGTTATCGTCACGAGGCTGAGTGGACCCTGTTCCAAACCCACTACTTCTTAGAAAATCTGGTAGCCCCAGGAATCGAAGCCGGGACCTCTCGATCTGGAGGCAGGAACTCTGACCACTAGACCACAGAAGCAGACAAAAGTAATGCATACAAATGTGATAAATAGTACCTAAGACAGAGGCGATGAACCTTTTTAAGGCTTAAGTAAGGGAAAGTACGTTTTCACACACACATAAATTAACGTTTCCTTGGTTTTTGCTTTTCTTATGAAATAGTATTTCTTTGAAACAAGATTTGTATGCTCTGGAATGTCACATGTACATTTGGCAGTGGTTTGCCATCATTGACCTAAAGGCTTCCTAAAGAGCCACTGAAACTTGTGTTCCTTGTCCTCTTCACATTTATTCAACCTGTCAAGACATTCCCTGTTTCTATGCAACTAATTAAAAAAACAAGTGCACACTATCTTCAGTTGGCATAATACAGTTTATAAACTTCACACAGTATTTCCTTAAGGTCTATTTTAATATTATCCTCTGGTCTGTAGGTCCAGGGTTTTCAGAGGTTAACTGTCCATCACACAAAAATCTGCTGTTCTAGCTTATCCTGATCCTCCTCATAATACAGCAGATTTCCATAAGATCAGTTTTAATATTGTGTTATATCCACAATTATGCTACAGACTTCCAAGTTGTGTTTTCCCATGAAATTGTCCAACCAAAATTTCATATGCATTTTGTGTTTCCTAATGTTCTTTATGTCCTTCCTATCTCTTCCTCCTGGATTTAATGACCATAACAATACTATGTAGGTAACAAGTACAAATATGAGCTACTTGTTACGTAGTGTCCTCCATTCCTCTCTTTGGTTTACCAGGCGAACATTTTAGATACTTGCTATTTCTGGATTTTTGTTCTCTGTTCAACTCTTTAATGTGTTTCTGGTTTTCTTGTATGGACTCATATAGTCAGGAACAAATAAATTTTACAGGAGTGATACTTTTTCAAGGTAAAAGTCTTTTTGACATCTTTATTTTGTATGACTTCTTTTGTCATGGGATAAATAAAGTTTGTTTAAAATGAAAAGTATCTGAATTTTGTTTCATTTTTTAAAACACTGTAACACATTAGACCACTGTAGGTTGTGGTGCATGGGCCGAGGAGGCATACCCCTCATACATTCAACACACAATTTGAAATAAAAATTTATCCACCACTGAAGGAGTTCTTCTCAGAGACTAAGGGGTACATGAAGTTTACTCTGGGAGCAAGGAATAGAGTTATGTGATGTTTCAGCCTGAGACCAAGAGCAGTGTCAACTGTAGAAGGTTCAGAAATGCTGATATTGAAATTACATAAAACAAGACCAGAAAGGTATGTTTAATTTTGAAAATATGCTCTTCTTGACTTTGCGTGCATATTAGCCTTGAAGTTCAATAATTACTGATAACAATGTATGGCTGAATTGATGGTACTGCAGGTAGCACAGTTGGAAATTATTTTTCATTGTGTTTCATTAAATATTTCTCCCTCCCCCTCTCTCTGTTGCTCTGCAGCCCTTTGGGCCTTGGCCGTTTTTTCAGTTTCTGAATCCTACACACAGTTGGTAGGACTCCTTGGATGGGGGATCAGCCCGTTGCAAGGCTGCTACCTATACATGGAACAACACAAACAGAATAAATGCACATGGATAATCATGCCTCAAGTGGAATTAGAACCCATGATCTCAGTGTTTGAGAAGATAAAGATGGTTCATGCCTTAGACTGTGCACCCACCGTGATTGGTATTAAACATTTACCATATTAAAAATATTTCCAGTAAAGTTGTGGGTTTTTAGTGAGGTCTATATTTTATGTCAGTTTTGGTATTATGAGCTGTTATAGAAAAAACTGATAAGTTAAACTTGAGCTTCTTCTGAACTTGGTCTTATGTTACACTGTTGTGTACCAAAATTAAACTCCCTGGACAATGTTTTAATGTGGATCCCTCAATAAAGTAAAAAAAAAAAGTAAAGCTATCCCTGTAACAGGCCATGAAGGCCCATAGGGTTGTGAGACATTAAGGGTCCCACATTATCTAGACAATCGGCTCACAGAAGGTGGTAAGGTTGTTAGCCTTACGCGCCAGCCGCGCTTTACTCCCCAGGAAAATTATTTATTTAATTCCTGGTACTTATTTCTGTTAGAGGCTGAGTGAACCCCAGGGCCATAGTGCAGCCGGAAGGATTAGGTCAACTGAAAAAAATCCAGTAACCTCATTGGTATTTGAAGCTGTGACCTTCCAACTTGTAGCATAGTGCCTGTGGATCCCTCAATACTAATTTTAATTTAAATCCATCATGTAATTTTGGAATGTGAAACATGAACAGGAAGGTGACAGACATCTTCAAGCTTTCATTATATGAACATCAGGCAAAGAGCAGGCTCTAACCCATGTAACAGAAATGAACACAAAATTTGTGTGACATTTAAGGTTTCAATGATGGTGAAAATTTAGATTACGGTCTTCTGAATTATGACATTGTGTAGTTTTGAAAGTGCAACATTTCTGAAGAACCTTCTGCCTCCATCTTCTGCTCTGTTCCACTCAGTGTTGGGTAGGGAGGAACCACTATACCACTATAAGATAGCCGATGTTTCTCTGAAACACTGGTAATCATGTTAGACTATGTGGTATCATAACGAAGGAGAATCCTAACTATAGAACTTCATAATGTAGAAACCTATGAGTAAATATGTCACTGAAAGCAAAAATAAATAAACAAATGAATTAAAAGGAAGTGTTATGATCTAGTGACAAATAGAAATTGCTGAAGGCCTCTTCTCAGGCCTCACATACCCACATTCAAGTATGTTCATAACAGTGTATAATTGGCTATCAGCTTTGCTATATTGGCCAATTTGTCTGCATGAAGAACTGAACTTAACTGAACTAATTTGGCAATTTTATGTGCAGCATTTTTTGTTCCTTGGCACTACAGCCCCAGTGGGCCTAGGCCTACCTCCATGAACTTCTCCGTTCACTTCGGTTTTTCTAGATCTTACACATTCGGTAGGACTTCTTGGGTGGGTGATCAGCTCGTCGCAAGGCCTCTACCTGTACATAAACACAGAAAAACGCACACACACAAACTAACCATCCATGCCCTGAGTGGGATTCGAACCCACGATCCCGGTTTCCAAGCAAGCGAAGACAGTACATGCCTTAGACCGCTCGGCTACCGTGACCAGCATGTGCAGCATTTACTAAAATAAATTCATGGGAAAGAAGAGGCATGCATACATAGTTTTACTAGGAAAACCTGAAGGGAGGCCTAGGTGCAGATAATATTAAACTGATATTAAAGAAATCCTCCTCGTTGGTGTCTCCACTGTATCGTGGTGAGGGGGTTTGAGTATGCCAAGGACCCTGAGAGCTATACCAGCAGTAGCGTAGCTACTGGCAGGGCCTCCCTTGCTGGACAGGTTGAAGGGTAGGCATCAGACGAAGAGAGACACCAAAAACCAAGAACTGATGCCGGAAGCAGTGTCATCAGCAGCGACTTGAAGCACAGAGCAAATGATGCTCGAGATGGTTCAAGTTCGTATAGCAACAGGCGTGACCAGAGTGGTTTGAACGGCTGTTGTACTGCGATGTGGAAAGCAAATAGAAAAGCTACCACGTTATCACTTTTCCTGGATAGTAGTCTCTTTCCAAAAACAGAGATGCCATGTATGCGAAATGTGTCCTGTGGAGACAAAACAATCCGGAGGTAAACTACTCCCCCAATCAGATCTTCGGGGGGGAGTGTTTCTAGAGGAAATGTCATGCAGGCGTTACGACAAGAAAAAGTGCGAAGATCAGAAGGAACATCACAGCTACAAGATTGGAACATGGAATGTATGGACCTTGAATCAAGCAGGCAAATTGGAGAATTTGAAAATGGAAATGCAGAAGAATGAAGTGTCTGTTTTAGGTGTCAGCAAAGTGCGGTGGAAAGGACAAGGTGAAATAAGAAGTGGTGATTATACAGTGTATTATTCTGGAGGTGAATGGGCTGAAAAAGGTGTGGCAATACTGGTGCGTAAAAGTGTAGTGAGGAGTGTTGTTAAGAAGATTGTTTGTAATGACAGAATTATTGCTCTGAAGTTAAAGGCGGAACTGGTAGATATACTGATTATGCAAGTGTACATGCCAACATCAGAGTATGAAGATGATGAAGTGGAAAAAGTGTATGACACAATTGAAGAAATTCTTCAGGAAGATGGAAGAGGTGACACAAACAGCATCATATTGGGAGATTGGAATAGCATTGTTGGAGATGAACCATATCAGAATATTGTTGGATCACATGGACTAGGAACACGGAATCACAGGGGTCAAATGCTTATTGACTTTTGTGAAAGAAATGGACTGATTGTTACCAACACTTGGTTCAAGAAGCCAAAGAGAAGACTTTACACATGGAAGGCACATGGGGATTGGAGGTGGCATCAGCTGGACTATGTCCTTGTGAAACATCGATTCAGAAACAGTGTGAAGGATGTGAAGACGATGCCTGGGGCAGATATTGACTCCGACCACAACATACTGGTTGCCAAGTTTTGAACCAGGTTGAAGAAAATTATAAGATTCCAAAAACGCAGACCTAGATGGGATTTGGAGAAGTTATATGCTCAAAGACAAAGCATGCAGGAGACCCTAGAAGAGAAACTCAGTGCAATTGAAAGTGAAAGCAGAAATGTTGAAGTGCAGTGGAACAATATAAAAGAATGCATGTTAAATACTATTGGTGAATTGGTTGGTAAAGTTGAGAAGATAGCAAGAAAACCATGGGTTACACAGGAGATGATGAGTAAAAAGGAGGAGCAAAGGAAATGGAAGAATGTAAACAATGAAGAAGGCAGGAGGAAATACAGGAGACTGAGGAATGAACTGAGAAGAGCCATGGACAGGGCCAAAAAGGAATATCTTGAGAAGATATGTAATGTGATTATAGAATTTCAAAGGACAGGATGTTATGATTTGATGTACATGAAGACAAAAGAACTAGGATGGAAAGAGAACCATGGGATTCAAAATATTGGCATCGAAGACTCCCAGGGGAATAGAATAGTAGATCAGAGGCAAGT